CTGTAAAGTGTGATGGATTGGATGATATAATGCGGGAGAAAATACACTACACCGTACTTCGGAGATAACAAAATGATAATATGCTCCTTCCCCCTCTCCCCTTTTTTTAACTATGATTTTTCAGAAAGTGATTCTCAGTAAAGTAGTAACGATTTTTTTTTCTTATTACGATATTTTCATTTCGACTGTAATCCCTGGTGAAAATTTTTCTCATAATTTTTATACGAATTGAAATATTTTTCAGAAATATTCGGAAAGTTTACGTCTTCTCTCAGAACTTCTCGTACAAGTGAATTCTGAAATATTCTGAAATTTCTCATCCCATAATTTTTGAAAAGTATTTTTTAATTTTTTTAGATTTTGTAACATTTCGTCAGAAATTATACTTGCAAAAAAATCTTCAAAATCTTACGATATTTCATTAATACATATGAAAAATTCTAAGAAAAGATGTAGATTTTCTGAGAAATGTTCCAATTCGTACGAAAAATGTGAGAAAATTATAAAATTATATAGAAATTCTAAAAAATTATATGAAAAATTCTGAGAAAGATTTTCACGAGGAATTACTGTAATAATTCAATACCGTCAATTTGTAAACTCTCTTTAACTGTTTAAAGAGTTTACGCGAATTTTTGTACGCGAATATAAGAAGAGATGGGCGATATGTATTCTATACACATATTTATTTTCATCTCTAGCTCGATATAGATTCCATGAATAGCGGGTTAACATTTAGCACCCATTCACGTTGACGCGCGACAGGCGCGTTCATCCGACATACCAGTTAATAATGCTATGCGCCCAATTATCTTTATGACATGACGTCAAGGTGCGTGTCATCTAGGACACGGCGTAGTAAAATTCCCAACTCGGCAAAATCCCCAGAAAATCTTGACAGGCGGTTTCAGCGGTCGGCAGTCATCTAATCCGAGGGAAAAGCATTCGCGTACGTGTCAAATGAAATGCGTGATACACCTGACTGAACATGTACATACATACGTATACCAGAGAGAAAATCGAGATAACAGCAGAAATTGTAAATATCAAAATGTCAAGATTATATTACCGTTATAGAATTTTATCTTGTAGCAAACGTGTATATATCAATAAAATGACGATGAAATTATCCATTACAAGGTCGATTATAATTATAATTATTATCAGCGTATACAATGCCCTAGAAAGTCTATATATATATATATAAATAAATCTTGCCAGAAGAGAATAATAATTTTGTACGTATTTAAATATACATCGCACAATTCTTTCTCCCTCTTAAAAAAATTCAAATTTGTATAAAATATATTTCGCTATAACCATATATTAGGTGCGCAACTAAGTTCTCGCTGTTATTTTGATGAAAATACCATCAAAATAACAGCGAGAACTTAGTTGCGCACCTAATATATAAAAATAAAATATAAAATCGCAAACTCTATATATATATATATGAGTACAAAGGATGTCGAATAATGACGAAGGTAATGAAACACGCCCGTCTTTCCACATAAATAAGTTAATAATATCATCTTGATACTATACATGTATCCACGACATGCGATTATCCTACTCGATTAAATTACCCAATTATTTCTACAGCGTAGTATTGGGATGCGTATCTAGCACGCATCAAGGTAAATTCCCTATCGGAGATCCGGAGAAAATCTTGACGGGCGTTTCATTCTGCCATCCTCACCCACGCGAAAAGTGAAAAGTTACATCTACATTAAAATACAGATAATAGCAAGTGGGTGGAATAAAGTTGTTTGTTTTGTGTTAAATAACGTTCATTTTAATTTACCTTTATTATGCCATGTATAGTTGTACTTTATTATTATTTTGTAACGGAGTTATAATTTTATTCGTCGTTTAATTGTAACAAAAATTATTTGTAACTCATAATAATTAATCTGTTGTTGAAAATATTAATATTTAAGAAAATAAATATTAATTGTGACAAATAATCGATTTCTTCGATAATAAATCGTTAAAGAAACACATATTAACTCTAAGCTACCTGTACACTTTTTCGCAAATGTTTGAAAATTACGGACAGACATGTATAAGTCTCATGATTTTGTCGAGAGATATAAAAAGACGCAGCTGCCTTTTCGCATGAACGAGTTAATATTATTGGCTTAATGATCCCGTATAATGCATAAGTTATATCTGATTCACTGCGAGCTACCTTGATTAAATTACCCAATTACCTCTTGGACGTGGCGTCAAAATACATATCCAGCGTCAAGGTAAAGTCGCCTACCGAGCGAATCCGCAGAACAGCTCGACGGTCGTTCATTTCGCGCCCACGCGCGCAATTGCGTGGTTAAGGCGAATTTATACGGTTCATTCTTCGCGTGATGCGAAATAAATGCGTCGAGTGAACGGGTTCTTGTTTGAAAACGCACCATCGGAAGTGGATTAGCCGAGCTCTATGTCGTTTCATGGATTTCCGTGACTTGGCGAAAAAGGACTAAGACGAAAAGGAGGATTCGCACATTTCTTACAAAGAAACCGACCTCTATCAAATTGGCTAAATTTTTTATATCCGGTTGCTTTTATCATGTTGATCGAAAGTCTTAATGGGTATGAGAAAAGCTCAACTTTTATGGTTACGGAGCCATAAATTGCTGAAAATTGTATTGTATTTTAGAAAAATCATGTTTTTTTTTTAAAATCACTAATTTTTTTCTTACTTTTCAAAATCATTCTTGCAACCTTTCAGCTTTCTTCGGAATTTTTCAACAAGGTAAAATCTAAAAGAGTCTAATTTAAAACAAAATAAGCTAATAGGTTTTTTTAATGGTCTCTATTATTTTATCCAGATTATTAATTCGTAGCTATAAAAGTTAAGTTTTCTACGTCACGCCCATTGAAACTTTTGATCGCGATCAGTTTAATCGACATCACAAAAGCAACCACATATCAAATAATCAAAAATTTAGTCAATTTGACAAAAAACCGATTTCTTCTTAAGAAGTATTCGGGATCCTTTAATTACATTACTTTTCGTATTACTGATATACGAAAAGTAATCCAATTGTAAATTACTCTACATTGAAAATTTAACGTACGAAATTAAATCCTTTTATGTAAAACGGATGACAGTTCCTTTCATAAACGGAGATAGCTGTTTATAAAATTTACTTTTACACATCGTCCGAAATAATCGTGTAAAGTGAACGGTGTAGATTCGCTTTTAATTCTGGCCGCGAGGATAAATTCACGACGGTAAATCACAGGCGAGGATATCCCTTTCGACGCGTGCGATGTGCGCGGGCCGTATTGTATGTTAATAGCAATTATCCGAAGGGGCTAGCAATTGGCAATTGGCCTATGGCTATGGAGTAATGACGCAAGTGCATCGCTCTCTTCTCGCACACGTCACGAGTTGGTCAGATGCAGAATCACGTCTCGAGCTATTCATGGGTGGCGCCAGGATATCATTTAATACCATATCCGGATACCAAAAGAAAGAGATGGATAAAGAGAGAAAGAAAGAGGACGGACTCGTGTTAAGTGCACTTAAATGACGACCTCGTCGTCCTGCGTGCAATATCCTGCACGAGTTTATGGCGACATATGAGTTCGCATTAAGATTCTACCGAGCAACGACGTAAGTCTTAAAAGATCACGGGCATTTGTTACCTCAGCCGAAACAAATGTAATAATGCGTGACGTTTCTGCGTCTCTTTCATTTGTAACGCATCTCCGAATCCCATCGCGAAGTTACCGATACTGATCCCAAGAAAAATGATATTCGTAAAAAAAAATTAGTACTTGCAGATAAAATTTAAGAATCGTTCAATCTCGTTACATAAAAATAGTATTTTAAAATCATATAAAGAAAAATGCAAAGAGAGGACAGTTTTTTCTAAATAAAATATAATTTTTACTTTAAAAAACAAGCAGTATAAACTAATAATAAATATAATGCAGTATAAGTCACAGCAATTTCTAATAAAGCTTCGCGCAAACAGAGAGTCGACTCAGAATCAGAAGGAAATGGCCTGCAAAAGCCATTTTACGCATCGAGAACCATAATTGCTCTCGACCTGCCTGTCGGTAGATTTCTAAAGAAAAGACGGATATAAGTCTATCCTATCATGGGTTAGACTTTTAATATAAGATAGCAGAGTTTCTGCTAATATAAAACTAATATAAACTAATATAAAATATATTCAGTAGAAAATTTATTAGATTATGTAGTCGTTGCGAAAAAAGATTTGTGAAATTGGATGATATCAAGTTTTACTGAAGCGAATCTTTAAATCTTATTTATTATGTAATAAATAAATATTTGACAATAAATTCTGCATGCAATGATAGAGTAATCGTATTAATATAAGAAAATATAAGATATGATTTGTTTAATTGTAAAAATTAAATTTGGTGATCGCGAAGTCGTTCGGGATTCGTAATATGAGGTACTCAAGGAACTTAATTTCTGAAAATTATATAAAAAGTTTAAGTTTTGTTTATTTTTTGTTTTCTTTTATAATAAATATAAGTTTGATATGCTAATCGTAATTGATTTCTAGTCTTAGAATCATTGCGTTTTGAAATGACAAGGTCATTAAAAAATATAATTAATATGTATTAAATTATAATTAAAGATTGAAATTTGCCATATTCCTATTTTTTGTGCAGTAAAAACATTTATTGTAGAGAGAGAAGGTTTTTTTTTAATTGTTTCTTTGATTTCTTGTTATAAGATATCACCTTTAAAAAAAAACTGATATCTCATATTGTAAGAACTGTTTTTTAATTAGCAAAACTGGCAATTATTTGATAAAAACTTTCGCATATAATAAAGTACAACTATCATCAATTGCTAACTTTTGATCTTTCATAAATTTAATATAAAAAAAAAAGAAGTTGAAGTTACAAATTAAATAAATCACGAGCCATTAAAAAATCTCATGTTAGTCACCTTTCTGTGTGTGTGTGGGTGTGCGTGTGTAATATGTTATACATATCGTGCAGGCTCAGCTTACCACAGTAATGGACCAAAATATGAAGAGTTCCAGCATGGATGCGGCTGTCGCACCAGGAAGCGGTGTCGACCTGCGGCTCGAAGAGGGAGAGATCGAGACCCTCCATATCGCTCTCGCCGCAGGAGTCGCTCAGGGGCTCAAAATTGCTCCCGTTAGTCCCCTCATCCTCGGTCACCAACTCCTCGGAAAGATTCTCGCCACCGCCTGCGCGACATCGAGACGTCAATGCCATTTTCGGTTGAATACTCTCTCTCTCTCTCTCTCTCTCTCTCGCGCGCGAAAACCGCAAAGTCCTCCTCGCCGCTCGCGCTGTCCGCTTAATAAGACTGGCAATACATGCGCTTGGTAAAACGCCCAACTTTTCTCACGGAGATATATCTCTCGTGCAGCATCAATTCTTCCACAGATTCTTCGTCCCTTCGTCGTGAAACCCGCGTCCTCACACACCTTCTCGCACTGCGAGTCTCACCTTTTCATTTCACGGTAACTCGCATTCGTTCGTCTGGGGAGAATCGGTTGAATATTTCACGTGTCGGAAATGGTGTTCCTTCGTTCCTCGTACGATGTGAGATATACAAAGTGCCTTACATCTTCGCATAAAATCTTAACAATAAAAGATTTTTCACCAAAGTTTAAATTCAATTTTTTTCTTCTTTGGTAAATGATTCAATAAAATTTAACGAAAATTAAAGTCCAAATAATTAACGCAAGAAAATATTTCATATAGAAAATTTTACCTTGAATTTATTAAAAAATATATTATTATATAATATGTAACATTTGGACGCAACGAAGGTAAGACTATGTACATACTACGTAGAAAAAAATTTCTCCAGAAAGGAAAGACACAAGAAAAGAGGAACATAATAATCGCCGATGAAATTAGTTTTTCGCCCCGCGTTCATCCTTTATACTAATCCGCGTCGCACTATTTAGAATTTACTAGACTTTTTTCGAAGACCAAAAGAATATTTTACACGTTTGTGCAGTACAAAGTATGTATACGATGATTCTTTCCAGGTGGAACGTAAAATATCAGTGTGAGTTTTAATTAGGCGTTCGTTTTTAATGGCTTTCATAAATTAGCTCCACGCCAGACTAATAACCATCATAATAACTCCCACCGACGCGCACTGCCGATTTTTTCCATAAGTCACGCGTTCTACCATCATAATTAGGCTCAGCTTCTAATTACTTGCCGACTGAAAGCAAGAAGACGGAACAGGAACCTAAAATTGATCGATTTTAATCTACGATTTTAAACTGCTGTTGACGTGACACGTTTAATGTGAAGAGAGCCATAAAGTACGAAGCATTATAAAGCATGAATAAATGCGAAATTAATAACTAATTTTTGTACCGTAATATCAATTTTTATATTTATCAGAGATTTATCCAGAATTTATTAAAAGCTACTTAAATCACACACAGAAATTATCTTTAAAAACTTGTAAAATATCATGGATATATTTTGAAAAAGTTTTAATAATTTTTCTTTGTTACTTTAAACCTTATTGATTAGCAAGTGTATTTTTCAAGAATATTTTTTTGTATATAAAATACGTAATTTCTCAAAATATATATCATCAAAAAAATAAAGTTTTCTTATTGTAAAATTAAAAATTTTACAATTTCAAACTCAACAAGATAATACAATATTTGCTGAGCCGCCTCAGGAGGTCTCTATTTAATTAAGCGAGCTTGTAATTAATTGCGTGTTGCCTGTCCATCTCTTGTACGACACGTTGAAGAAAAGTTGTAAGATAACCACGAACAAAGTCATATACCAAATAGAAAAGTTGCTGCAAATAATAAATTGCTCATTTTTTACAGCAATATGAATAATTTGTCTCGATATTAATAAAACAGTAAAGTATAATTAACTCTCACCGTGTATGTTTTTGTGTGTTTTTTTTTAATACCAATAAAGTGTATTAATGTCCAGCGTGTTTTTTTAATGGATTAATTGATTCAAAAATATTATATAAAAAATTCATGTAGTTTCCTTAGCTTTATTCTAAATGAAAGATTTATACATAATTTTACAAATTTAAATTATTTAGTTAAATATTTTATTTTTATAAATATATATATATATATATCAAAATGCAAGTAGTGTATATCTTCAAAAATTTGTAACTTTTGAACAAATCAATAAAATCTCATCATTAAAAATAGAAAATAAAGTTTAAGGTGTATATTAATAAAAAAAATATGCGAACACATTTTTTTTAATTTAAATGCTTAAGTTTGGGGCATGAAGTCTTACAATTTTAAAACCTATAAAAATAAACGTTCGTGAAAAATTAATATTTAACTTTAAAAAATTCATTTTTTATTAAAAATCTATAATCTCATACACTTTTATAAATAAAAAAATACGTATATAAATGACATTGTAAGAGAACGAAGAAATTGTAACACCTCTTCTGCAGGGCAATGCCTTTGCTATTTTAATTCTAACACTGAATAAAAATTTTTTCGTTATATATGTATGTATTTTATTTATAAAAATAATCAAGAAACACGAAACAAATTATTTTCTTATTTTTACGACAAATATATACGTTGAGTATAAACGGAGATCTATCTTATCGTACGCGTTTTTGATTATTTGTTACTCAACGAGAGAAGGACGCAAGCCGGACTTTCACGTACATTTTCCGCCACGAGCTTTTTTACGACGACGCTTGTATTGCTCTTGTTTTTAAGATATTCATGAATTTAAAAATTGCCTGGACAAAAATGACCCCCGTACACACAGTAAGGATAAAGAACGTATTAATTTTTCGTCAAAGATCTATTTTAAATTTATAACATGACATTGAATTTATAACAACGGAACATGTTGTAATAATCAAATGAAAAATAATTTTTCCTTCACAAGAAGCATCGAATATTATTTTACCAATCTTTGAAATAAATTTGAAATTATATTGAAACTTTTACGACTATATTAGGAAGAACCAAAAAGCATAAATAAATAAAAAGTGTTTTATTAAGCGATAATTGCCGTGACATAAATGAATACAGAATTAAGACATTGAGATGTATATCGATCAATTAAGACACACACAGGCGCGACACGTACAGGCTTCGAACCTGTAATTTTCGATCTGGTCTACTTATATGAATTCATTGAGCGTGACAAAGTTGTTCGTAAGGAGTCTACCGTATCAAAAGCGCGCGAGGCGACACGCGCGAGAAGGAAAGCGGGACCGTCGCGCATTCTCTCGGTGCTCGCTTTCTCGGGCAAGCGGCCAGCCCGTGCCAACCTGTCATTACGAATCTTTCAAGTTCAAGAGCACGATGAAGGAACTCACTTTCTCACTGTCATCCGCTGATTGCGAGACGTATACAGAAACAAGAGATCATAGCGTACTTCGACCATTGTACTTAAAAATCTTTTATTTTTTAATATATTTCTCACCTGGTATAAATATATTTTATTAGAAATTTTTTATTTTATTAATTTTCAGATTTTATTAACTCTTATTGATATTTCATTTTATTATCAAATTATTATTATTTTATTAATCTTTTCAGATTCACAATATTCAGGGGATAAATATAATTTTTATTATATGCGTGTAAAACTCTTTCTCAACAATATTAAACTGTAGATGTGTGAATGTTTCTCTACGGAACAATAGAAACGGGCTGATACGAGACCGAAAGGGTTAAGCAGGAATAAGACATTAATTATCTCGCGGTTTTCGCGCGCGAAAACTAGATATAAATTATGACACTGGTGTTCCGCTATCTCTTCAGTACCGATAAATTATTTACACGTATTTACGCGACGCAACTTCCCGAGGGACTTGCAGATAAAAGCGAAAAAACCAGTTTCACGAAAAAAAAAAAGAGGAAAATGTTAACGATGCTGACATAAAGGATTCGCATACCAACCGACCAAATACCAACGTATTTATATCCGACAAACTTCTAATACGCAATCGTTAGTCATACGTAAGAAACACGCCCGATTCAGTCTGCAAATCGTTCTCGTATAATGCCATTAACTTCACGAAATACTCGTGGCAATCAGGATGTTTCGTGAGATTATTAAATTACTACATCATGTTGTATAATTTTTGCAAAGAGAATAAAATGTATTATTTTTTTCTCTTTTCACAAATAGAGTTTTTGTTTAAAACAAGTTTGTATTCTAAGAAAAATAAACGTAATATTCATTTAGCAATTAGTTCTAACAATAAGATGAAGAATTTGAAAGTATTTAAAAATATAAAAATTATACTATTGACAGTTACAAATTCTTCATTTATGTTATAAAAAAAATGTCAAGTTTTTTCAAAATATTCAGAAGGTAAATAATGTACAATGTATACATTTTTAAAAAACTTTTAGAGATGGCTTAATAATACAAAACTAAATGAAATAATAAAATAACAAAAATAAATAATAAAGAGGATATATAACGCAAGATGTCTTTAGCGAAAGTTGTGTATTTAAAATTTTTAATATAATAAAGTAGTTTCGGTCAAATCTTGACCATCATCGATACAATAAGAATATTATAAACAATGTTATAGACATTATAAAAGATATTAACAAAAATTGTTCCAGTGTTTGTATTCGCTATTCCAGAATTAACGGTGACACACGAAGAAAAATAATTGAGATTTTTACCTTAGAAGAAATATTCTGGCTACTTTTACCGAATTTTGTGATAAATTTTATTTACCTAAAAGTAAAAATACCGGAGATTTAAGATGAAAAGATTATATTATGATTTTAGTACATCATTTCAAGTGACTATTTTATCTTAGTTATAGTAAAATAAATCATACTAGTAAAGTAAATTATACTTACATTAAAGTAAATCGTACTATTTTCAAGATTGATGAGCACAACCAATTCTCAGAACTTTTATATATAGATATATTTTTTACTACAGAGTAAAGTAAATTTCAATGCAAAAGAAAAAATATTCGTCGATAAAGTAAATTCTACTATTGAAATGTCTTATAAATTTACTTTACGACGACAATCTCATATACTAGAAATGTAAAGAAAATTTTACATAAGTAGGCACGTATTCCTATATGAACTTGATAATTCCAAAAAATTTACTAAAATTCTAACGTACATTTCTTTCCGTGCATAAAATTACATTCCCTTATGAAATATTATGGAAAAGTTCCTTTCATAAGCGAATGTAATTTTATGTCATCGTCAATTCTGGAATACACACATTCGAATAATTTTTGTTAACATTTTATACAATTTCTGTAACATTGTTTATAACATTCTTATTCTACTGACGATGGTCAAAACTTGATTGAAACGTCTACTTTATTATTAGGTGTTGGAATTAATTCGTAGCGTTTTTTAATGAAAGAATGTTATTTATTTCACATGAGCATTAAAAAATACATTAATGAAAGTACTTCCCATCACTTGTAAAACGCTACGAATTAATTCCAACACCTAATATATTAAAAATTTTAAATATCTAGCGACTTTCGCTAAAGATATCTTGCGGCTGTATACTTATTATTATTTATACAATGTATAAATAATAGCCACTTCTTAATTGATAAAAAATAAATCATTAATAGAGAATTAATAGATCAGACATT